AGGGCTGCTGCTCTCTCTGATAAGGCTGTTAAATACATGAAAACTTTAAACAACTTTCTTTCCTGTAGTCTTTATTCGTGATTCAGACCCCAAGGTTGTGGGTAGGGTTCTTCGTATGTACTGGGGGTTGGAGTATCCTGCTCCCACTTTCCACCATAGAACTTTATGCCTCCTGGAAAGTCATTCCTGGATGACCCTCTGTAGCCAGTAGTTGGTATGGTGCAAAGGCTTCAGTTGAAAGGGGAGATCAGCAAAGAGATTATCTCTTTTTGCGTGTACATGAGCTATAACCCACCCGCAGCTTCCTCAATATGTGTACACAAATTATGCATTTATGAGGAATGGAGAGAATTGGAATACGTAGCCAGACGTCTGAGACAGCTGGGTGAGCATCTTCCCCACCTCTTTGGGGGCTCTGACACTTAGCCTATGGCAGTGATGGCAAACGTTTTAGAGACCGAGTGCCCAATCTGTGACTCAAAACCCACTTATTTATTGCAAAGTGCCAACACGCAATTTAACCTGAATACTGAGGTTTTAAAACAACTCATACATTAACTTAAGATGATCCAAACAAAGTAAGGAAAGCAATCCCAAATGCTTTCATTTACTTAAAACTATTTGGCAGAGAATTCGACACTTTAATGATGGTCTGGGGCGATGGCATGCGTGCCCACAGAGAGGGCTCTGAGTGCCACCTCTGGCACCCATTGCCATAGGTTCGCCCACCACTGGCCTAGGGCTTGTGTTCCGCAGCCCCCTGCTAGACAAGAGATGTGGAGTGTCTTAAGTGATCTCATCATCATCAGCTTCAGCTAGCTGGTTGAGAGACTTTGCTGCCCAGACTTTGGCATGGGAGGGAGAGGCATTTGCCATCTTGTTTTCTCCCTGCTCAACTCTTTGCCCGTGGAGCCTGGTCTTGGGCGACCGTGCCGGACCGGAGTACCTTGGATTGCTGACAGAGAGTGTTGGAGATCTTGATTAATACGGCTGCTATTCTGGATTGGGTTCTTTAAGCAATGTCTTGTGAGCATAACGTTTCTTTTCCTGAAAGAAGAGATTTTGCATCCTGTTGGCTCGTTTATTTAAGAAATTTTTATGCTGCCTCTTCAGAGCTGTTCAAGGTGGCTTCGCAAATGAAACAATAAAGCAGAACCAACTCGGACAATGAAACAAGTCAGTCGAACAAATCACACACATCAAAAAACCAAATAAAACATCACAAGCCAGTAGGATGAATAAAGGAAAAACAGAGCTACCAAAAAAAAAAAAAGCCAGTTAAAAATTAAACTTCCAACAGTATTTTGTTTATTGAAATTATATTTTGGTATTTTTAAAAGCCACTTTAGGCCCCATGGGGGGAAAAGGTAGGGTAAAAATGCCTAAATAAATAAATGTACTTCCAAGGATGTGCATACACCATAGAGAAATCCTAATACTCCATGGCTTTTAATTTCCTTGTCATTGGTTCCGTTCAGACATATTCATGACACCCTTGAATAGTGAGGCCAAAGCCTTAGGACTGTGCTTTGCCCAGCTCACGCAAGATACTGGTTCCAGGTGTGGGTGCTCCTGAGACCCCATCCCTGCCCCTCCACAATGCATAGAGGGCCGAGTGTTTAAGGAAGCAGGTGAACCTTACACATGTGGCCATTCTTTGCTTGTGCAGTTGAAGCCAGTGATACTTCATCTAGTCACACCAGTTGACAATTTGAGCCAAGAATCTGACAGAGCACAGAGCAATCCATCCCATTCAGTTTTAATTACGGGGGGCGGGCGGGATATGATTTCAACAATGTTAAGTCAAGCTTCATAAATTAAGCAGGCTAGCACTCATCACATTCAGCTCATGAAACGAATGGTCTTTCACCCACACCATCATGCACGAATCATAAAGAACCTTCTGCATCTCTAGGTGTTACAGAAAGGCTTATTTCAACTTGGTGTGGCATGTGTTTGAGCCAGCAAATCTTCCGCAGCGTCAGCCCCAGGGGGATGTTAATGTCACACCGTAAAACTGTGTGAAGATATACAACACACCACAGCAACACTTTTAACTACAGAAGTTCCTTTATAATGACATAAATAGATGGCTTGAAGATTCTCACTGTGGTGTGGCTTGATAGCAGCAGCTACTTATCTTCTTTGTTCTGTGGGTGTTTTTAGGAATGCGTCTTTTACTATCAATATATGTATCTACGCTTAATATCAACCTGCCACGCTACAAGGTAAATCTGGCCTGTTTCCATCACAGCTTCAGTACAACATATTAGCTGACTAAGTCAGTGGAAACCAGTTGCTTGACAAGAATCAAGGAATCCTGACTTTAGGAACTGGGAAGTTGGCTGTGGTGGGTTGGCGTGTGATGGAAAGGTTGGCGCCCCTCAGCTAAACAGATGGTTGTGTTACATAGTTTACGGCCAAGCAATCAAAAGATACCCATTTTATGACCTGTGAAGCAACTTAAAAATTATTTTTGTGATTTCATAGGGTTATTGATAGACCTGTAAGAAATGAATGATTATTTTGTAAAATCTTGTTCACTGGATAAAGTCCTATGAATGAAGTTGACCAAGCTTTATTTTATAACACTGAATTTCTGTGTGCAGGGTTGCCAGCCTCCTAGTGGGGCCTGGGGAATCTCTCAGGATTATAAGGAATAATGCTGTGGGAATTTCCCGGTTGTATTTTTACCATAGAGAGCTGGGAAATTCCTAGAGTGCTGCCGTGATGTCACTTTTGGATACGTAACTGCAAGTGACATCACCCTGCCCTGCCCCCAAAGCTCTGGGTGGTTGCCAGCAGATAGAAGAAAGCTGACAACCCTAGGATGCAATGTATGTAATAATAATAATAATATTAATAATAATGATGATGCTTTCAATTTATTAATCGTTTTCCCCACAAGTGGGCTCAAAGTGATTTACAGTTACACTTTTAGACAAGGGACTAACAATGTTTCAAAGGGGATAGGAAAGACAACATACTTCATCTAGTCTTCATCTAGTCACACCAAGACCATTATATGGTTTCACAGTGTATTCCTTATCTTGGTGGCAACCCTAGATAGTTTGTACATTGATTCGAATTATTGTTGCTTTAATAATAGCCCTGTTCCTGTGATTTTGATAGCAAATTGATTCTCTCTCTCTCTCTCGGCATAATTCAACCAGTATTAAACACGTTCATGGGGAGAGCAGTATAGAAGCTTAATGAAACAAACAGCAAATAAATAAATAATAAAAACACACTGATTTCAAGGTGTTAATTTGCTAAGCCAGATTGTCACGGGGAAAAGTCTGGCCTGCATCCAGTGGTTCCCAGGTCAGTGTGCTAAGAACGACCCGTGAACAATGGGCTGCTTCTGTACAGAGATGATTCTCTGTACGGTTCTTTTTGGCAACCAAACAGTCACACACGTTTTCCTCTCACTTTTCTTGCATCAGCCCCCCATGGCTGCCACTTCCTCATGCCAGTGGAGGATTTTTCCCCAGGCTTTTTAACAAATATCACTATAGTACTATAGTGTTATAATAAATCTTTTGCAACAATCTCCTAGTTTGAGCTTTTTAAAAACTGTAAGCCTTGAGCTCTTTGGAGTGTGGAGTTGATATGATGAGAAATGTGCAGTACCTTTCCCCTTATAACTTTGCAACCAAAAGAGCCAAATTGTTCCTTTAAAAGCTTCACTCCCACAACAAGAGTTGAAGGTAGAGCTCAAACAAGGATGAGTTCCCATCAGCCACTCCCCTGTATTTTGTTCTGAAGCTTTAAAATGCAAGGAGTGTCATGATGCAGCTTCCAGTGAACGGAATATAATGCGTGTGCATTGTTTTGTGAATTAAGCCAAACTCAGGAGGCCAAGGCCAAATACTTCTCTCCTCCAGGAACGTTCCACATTATTCCCACTGATGTCGTTTGGAGACATTCCAGAATTATATTGTGAAAGAGGGCTGGGATTTCTGCACAAAGAGGAAGGTCAATAGCACGGGCTGTTGAATTTAATACAGGAAGGCCAGATTTATTTCTGGGCTCAAAACTGCAGACATTCCTTGAGATCTGAAGAAGTATAGTTCATTTGCAGCTTTCCTGAGGCTCCTGCCTTTAAAACTGCACAAGTGATTCCTTCAATCACAATTTCCCATGTTTTAATTTTACAACTGGAAAACAGTGAGCTGCATACCTGACAGGAAGCTGCACTCCTTGACTTGGAGGTCTTACCCGCCAGTCAAAAAAGGCTGGCTGTTGTAAATCGGAGTTGTCGAGAAAGCCCTCTACACATGTCCAGAAGAACTATTTGCTTCATTCATCTCAGTCCTGGTCTCTGGCATTGGATCAGGAAATGTGAGACTGGGCTGATGCTGGGGGTGGAGACTTGGGAGAACAGAGGGGGGAGCTCAGTGGGGTACAATGCCGGGCAAGCCAAGGGAAGGCAGTTAAAATTCCCTTCCCTTCCCTTCAAGGGCCGGCTTGCCCGGGCTCCCCGCAGCTGCAAGCTCGCAGCTGCAAGGGCAAGCCAAGGGAAGCCATGGGTGTGTGGCCTAATATGCTAATGAGTTCCTGCTGGGCTTTTCCTACAAACAAAACCCTGACCATGCTGGTGTCCCTCCTCTCCCCGAACCCCGCCATCTATGGCATTATGCCCTGCTGAGGTCCCTCCCTAGCCTTCTGCTGCCAAATCTCCAGGAATTTCCCAACCCAGAGCTGGCAACCCTCGCACAAGACAGAAACTGCATCCCCCACCCATTCCTTAGAAATGTCACTTTCAGAAACCCTGAAGAGAGGGATCAACCTTGGAGAATAAAACCCGAGCAACTCACAGTAACAACTTCTTTGAACAAAGCAACTCCAAAATGGCGAAAATGGAGACAAAATAGGGACCATGCCTTGCCAGGGGCATGTAACCACAACGAAGATTATCCCTGGCAAACAGGGACAGGAAGAGCTGGTCTTGTTTACAGCTAACCTCTGTCTTTCCTTCCTTCCATAGATACCACCATTGCCCGCATCTCCCAACAAGGCCCTATGAGCAGACCGAGAAGCCGTGCCTCCTTTCTGAGTATGCAGAAAAATACCCCCTTTACGGCAGCATTCAACCCAGGGAATCATGTAAGCCCAAAACAGACTATGTTAAGCAGCCAGTGCCCATGGAAGGCATATCAACTGCCAGGTAAGAAAATGGAAACAGAGAGAGAACTGTGGGCTGCACAGTGCCAGTATGAATGCCTTGTAATCAGGGGGGCAGGCCTCAGGTGAAGTCACCTTTGTGTGGGAATCTTGGGGGATTAAGTGAGAAAAAGCTGTGGGATCTGTTATCTGGCATGTCCTCTGGGTGAATGGCTAGACCCCTAACTGTGTTCTTGGTGGGTAGCAGGAAGAGTACAGAATGGTGATCTCTGTTCCTTTCCATGTTATGGGCTACGCATTGTTAATCTTCAGGAGCATCTATTGCTAGGTTGCTATGTGTCCACCAGCACTCCAGTGGCTGCAGGGAGAAAGAATTTGTTTTTTAAGAAATCACCATCAGCAACAGTGAGACTCACTCCTGGGAAAACCTGGAAGTGATATCACGCCACTCTAGGAATCAGTGGAAACTCTATGATTTTGGTCATTCTTAAAGAGGACTGATGTCACTTCTCAGAAAAACCTGATGGCTGCTCCCTGGTTCCCTGCTCCCTCCTGTCTCCCACTGGTTGCCACGCTGGGCATGGCAACCCAATATATAACCCTTTCCATGTGATATTCTGGGGACACTGAAAGTGCATAGGAAGGGAACATGATCACAGTCATCATAACCTCATCCTCTGACATATGCATTCATTGTGATGTGTACATAGGTCCTACACATAGACTCCTTTGTTTATTTATTTATCCATGCATGCAAGGCAAAGGATGAAACGGTTGAACACATGGTCAGTGCCTGCAGTACAATTGCTCAAACTGACTATAAGGAACGTAAAGATAGAGTTGCAGCTACGTTGCACTGAAATCTTTGCAAGAACTATGGCTTACCATCAGCCAGAAATTCATGGGAGCACAAACCAGACAAAATCATAGAGAATGATGAAACAAAGATTCCTTGGGACTTCCAATTACAAACTGATAAACACCTGGAGGACAACACCCCTGCTGTCACAGTGCCATCATGCATGGCATTTTAAGCTACCTTTCTCCCAGCAGGGATTCACGTAAGGATCGTAGAAAGTAGGATTCCTAAAGGCTGCCAAGTAGCCTGAAGGGAAATGTTCTGTCCCTTTGGTTCTACACACTCAGAAACTAATGTTATATGAAACAAATGGATCTATGTACTAGCTCTGCGTCTCAAAAGCATCCTTTCCTTAAACGATGAGCAGATGTGAAATGAGTAGAAAAGGACAGTTGAAACTTTTCATGGCATGGTGGTAAATAATAGGGATGGGCACAAACCGTTTAACGAGCCAAAGTTCAGGATGAATTTTGCCTGGTTTGAGGCTCACGAGTCATGACTCGAGGATCATGTGTTTGTTGGAAAAAATTCCAAGCTTTTGGGAGCAGCTCAGAGCAGCTAGGAAACTGGAAGCCTCCAAGAAAGTCTGGCCTGACTGACTAGGTAACAGTGTGTGTGTGGGGTGGTGGTGGTGATGTTTTCCAGCCCTGGAAACATGAATACGGACCCTAAAAGCTTGACAGGCAATGCTGCCAGCTAGTAGCAGAGTTCCCTTCTCATTGATTAGAGATTAGGGCTGCCAAGTCCCCCCGGGGGGCGGATTTCCCCCCGCTTTGGAGGCCCGATTTCCACCGCCGCGGAATAGGGCCCCGGGGGAAACTCCACCCCGGCGTGCACGTCAGCCAGAGGTGACGTGACGACGCCGGGCACGCTGGGGGCGGGGCCACAGCCATTTGAGGGGAAAACTCTATAGCATCCCCATAGGGTATAATGGAGCCGAATAGTCAGGGGCTGGGGGAGCTTAGCTTTGCCCTGGGTTCTTCTGAACCAGTATTCATTTTCTTTTGTTTTCTTGGCGCAAAGGGTGGGAAGATCGGGATTGAATTCTTCTTTCACGTGGGATGTATTTTGGTTTAGCAGGAGTTTGCTGCTCTCAGCTTTCCCTTCCTTTTTGTTTTCATTTCACTCCTCCCTCCTTTGGGTTGCAGTGGAGGGATTTCTCTTTGCATATTTCTGTTTTCGGGGTGCTTTTTTGGGGGGGGGTGTCAGTTAATGCCTGGGGTCCCTTCTCCTCATTTCAAACGCCACCCCACTGCTCCTGGGGGGGGGGAGTTGCCTGCCTGGTTCCAGAGTTACGAAATGGGGGCCCTTCCTATGACTCCCCTCTGTTTCAAGCCTCACCCCCCTTCTCCTTTGGGGCTGATCTGTGTGGGTGCCTGCCTGGTTCCAGAGTGGCTGTCTGGGGTCCCTTGCTCATCTTCATTTTAAACACAACCCTACTTCTGTGGTGGTTTGCCTGCCTGGTTCCAGACTTATTGCCTGGGGTCCCTTGGCCCTCCTCAGGGCTTTTTTTCTGGGGGAATGTGCCGGAACAGAGTTCTGGAACCTCTTCAACAAAATTCTTTTAAAAAATATTTAAAAGTTCCTGAGTTTTCAGCATACAGGTTGAAACATTAATTTCCCTCTTGAGAGTTCTGGCACCTCTTTAAAAAAAAAAAAGCCATGGCCTTCTTCATTTCAAACTTCACCCCCCTTCTCCTTTGGGTCTGGTCTCTGTGGGTGCCTGCCTGATTCCAGAGTTACTGTCTGGGGTCCCTTACTCCTCTCCATTACAAAAGCAAGCATACAGGTATCTCCTGGGCCCATGTGGGCTGGCCTCCATCCTGTCAGTGGAGAGGGCCCGGGGGACACTCCCAAACATGCCTGACATCTTCCCAGAACTCAGTTTCCTGGGTGTACCTTCTTTGGGTGTCTGTAATTTGCCCCCCAACTCCAACTCACTTGTAACTGGCAGGGCATGTGTGGGGCCATCCTGGGGAGGTACGCCCTGAGTTTGATGTGTCTCGCTTGTCTCAGACCTATTCCATACACTCCTGAACCCGCACCAGATAGGTACCCGAGAGGCACTTTTCTAGGGGGTACCTCGTGGGGGGGGGTCTGCAACTCAGCCCCCAAGATCCAATCCATATGTAATTTGTAGGGCGTGTCGGGGAGCATCCTGGGGAGGGGCTTCATGAGTCTGATGTGTCTATCTCAGCCAGAGTTGGCGCTGTGCACTTCAGAACCTGCGCCTCACGTCTCCCTGCAGCACTTTCCAGGAGGCACCTTGTTTGGGGGTCCATAACTCGGGGGCCCCAATCCAATTTGCACATAACTTGCCTGGCATGTTGTGGGTGCCCCCAAAGAGGGTCTCCATGAGTTTGACACCTGTAGCTCATCCAAGTTCAGTTCTATGCACTCCCACATCAGTGCCAAAAATGTCCCTGAAAAGCAGTTTCCTGGGGCACCTTGTTTGGAGCTCTCACCTTGTTTGGGGAGTCCATTGCTCAGGCCCCCCAAGTCCAATCCTCACCAAACTTGGTGGCTAACCCAATAATAGTCCACTGTAGATGCACCCTGATTTTGAGGCCTCTAGGACCATGGGGGTTACCCCCCTTTCTGGTTTGGTTCGCGAACATGGCCAGTTTGTGAACCTGGTTCGGGAACTGGTTCAGAAACCGCTGGTTTGCTAACCCAAACTGGGTTTACCCATTCGTGCTCATTCCTAGTAAATAACACAACCTGGTAAATAACATCCCATTAAGGCTCTATTAAGGGGACAGAACATTCTCCAAACCAGGTGGCAACTTAAAAAGAGCCCCATGCTTGTACACTTGCATACACGTGGGGCTTCTGTGCACCTTAGAGGGAATGGGTGCAGATCAGGGTTGAGCTTACCACTGTGACCCCAATCTCCACCTATGCACATTTAATATTTCCAGAACGTTATATAAACAACCTTTGCCAACTCCATCACTGGTTCTACACACCCAGTAAACTATTGTCATATAACACAGATGGCTCTATTTACTAGCTCTGCATCCCAAAAGCACCCTGTCCTTAAAGGATGTGGATTTTTTTAAAAAAGTTTAATACCAACAGCAGACATTTGAACCTTGCTCTGCTGCGGTGGCTCAGGTGGTTAAGATGCTGAACTGCAGGCTGTGGAAAGTCAGTAGTTCAGCAGTTCGAGTCCCGGGTGCCGCATGACGGAGTGAGCTCCCGTCTCTAGTTCCAGCTCCTGCCAACATAGCAGTTCGAAAGCAAGAAATTGCAAGTAGATATATAGGTACCACTTCGGTGGGAAGGTAACAGTGTTCTGTGCGCCTTGGTGTTTAATCATGCCGGCCACATGACCACGGAAACGTCTTTGGACAGCGCTGGCTCTTCGGCTTTGAAATGGAGATGAGCACCGCAACCCTAGAGTCGGATTCGACTGGCTTTCGAGCAAGGGAACCGTTACCTTTACCTTTACTGAATCTTATATCCCACCAACTAGAATCTGAAATGATGTCCTTGTGACACTGGCTGTGGAGCTAGGAAGCTCTTATTTATTAAACTCTGCAAGCAAGAACCAAAACAATTCACTACTAACTAACTAAAAAAAAGCACAACACCTTATGCCAAGGCATTACTTAAGCAGCACCAATACAGTGAGATCTGAGCTGCTGCAGTTCAAGTCACATTCCATGCACCTCTAAGGGCATTGAAAGTTCCCATGAAGCTCCCCAGACGCAAGGGCCTGGCTGTAAACATTCTGCCACTCTTTTCTCCTTGGCCTACTTGACTGGTAATCAGAATAGCATGTAATGTCTCTTCACATACTCTGCCCCCTTCCTCCTTCCTCCCCACCTGCAACAAACCCTTTGTTTAGCCAGCTCTGCTTCCCCAGGAGAATCAGGAGCTACAAAGCAGACTTTAAAAAAGAAAGAAGCCACAACAGCATGGATAAGGCTCTTGCCTTTTTCGGCAATGCTGGTCAACAATACAGCAGTGCTTCCGAAAGGCGAGAATCTCAATTATTTCAAGAGTTTATAAAAGTGCTAGATCCATGTTGCCCTGACTTGGATAGCCCTGGCTAAGCCCGATCTCAGCAGATCTCAGAACTTAAGCTAAGCAGGGTCGGTCCTGGCTAGTATTTGGATGGGAGACCTCCAAGGAATACCAGGGTCATGACATGGAGGCAGGCAATGGCAAACCACCTCTGAACGTCTCCTGCCTTGAAAACCCCACAGGGTCACCATAAATCAGCTGTACTTTGATGGCAAAAAAAAATCCATATCTAAGATTAACAATGCTTATCTACTGTGGTTTGGCATCCTTCAGCTTGATAAGAATATGGAAATGCCTATCACTACCAAGTGTCCAGCAAATGAAAATTGGTGCCAGCCTTCTGGCTTTTTGTGTATTCCCAGTTTTTCAGTGCATTGCACATCCCAAACTGAGCTAATGAATAGTAGCTGGCCTATTTTGGTGTGCAGAATCCTGGAGCCCTTGAAATGAAGCCATGAAACGTGAAGAATGTTCAGAGCACTGCCTTGGTCTTCATATCTCCCCTTTCCTCTTTTCCCTGTTCTCTCATATTGTTTCCCCCTCAATCAGAATGTATGCTGTAAACTCTTAGGGGGAGAAACACTCTAAAGATTCATCTAAACTGATGACAGTAATATATAATCCTCCAGACAAGGTTTGTGAGTTTCTTTTACGCAGGGCTATTTTTGGGCAGGAACGCAAAGGAACGGAGTTCTGGCTGGCGCCCAGAGGTCATTTTGGGGGGGAACGCGGGGGAACACAGTTCCCCCGGGTGAGGTACCAGGGGGCGGGGCACATGACGAAGCCCCGCCCCCTGCTTCCTGCCTGGGGCCAGGGAGGGCCTTCGCAGAGCTTCCTTGCACTCCCGCCGGCCTTGCAGGTCCACCGCCGGGCCCCTCATGGGGCTCGGCAGTGGAGCTGCAAGGCCGGCGGCAGCGGCCGGGACCATTGGGGGCGGGGTGTGTGGCCTTATGACACACTTCCGGTGATGTCAGGGGGTGTGGCCTTATGACACACTTCTGGTGATGTCAGGGGGTGTGGCATATGCTAATGAGTTATGCTAATGAGTTCCCCTAGCTCTTTTTGTACGAAACGACCCCTGCTGGCGCCCAAGCAAGCCAAGGGAAGGCATGGGGTGTGACCTGATATGCTAATGAGTTTCTGCTGCTGGGTGTGGCCTATTATGCTAATGAGTTCCTGCTGGGCTTTTTCTACAAAAAAAGCCCTGATTTTACTAAAGCATACCACCAAGGGCAGTACCAGATAACAGGATAAAACAAGTCAAATTAGCAAATTATTTAATCCAATCTATGTAGATCCCAGTGTGTTCTGAGCAATTAGTTCTTCATCAGGGGAATGTAAAATGACTACAGTAATTTGGGCCAATAGGCGCTGCTATGAAGAAGTTCCTGCATTCGTTCTTGTTGGCCAGCCTTTACCATCTAGATGACCTCTTTCTTTCAGAAAACACTTCTTGTATCCCCTACATTAATACATCTTTTTGTGCCTCAACTGTCTCCTTCCCAGATAGCCGCTAATGAGACATATTGATGTTGTTTTTCACAGGAGAGATTACGTCCCTCATGACGTGAAACCTATAAAACTGAGACCTCCAGACCAATATGTCAGGAATAATGAAAATATGGACACACTGTCCACTTACAAGCAGGACTACAACAGTTACCCCATTAACCGGGTGGCTCCTTGTTTGCCCAAGGAACAAAACTATGCCTCTGATGAGAAGATGACCACAATACCTACATACAAAGGTACACGCTGAATATGATGAACTTCTTTCAAACATCTTTGTATAAGAGCAAAGCCAGCTTTGGACATTACTTGTGGTTTCTTGGCAGGTTCCTGATAGAATAAAAACATTAAAAAACCCTGTAAAGTTTGATAGACAAGAAAGAACAGGGTGTATTTATAGCCAAGGCTAATGATTTTTATTGCCCCCATTTCCCATGGAAGGCTTGTTAAAGCACCTCTTTGGAGACTGGAATAGGTAGGACTTGTAAGACACCAGAGGCCATGAATCAGGGACTCTAGCCTAGGGAGAGCAGGGTTTGGGGAGGGGAAGGACCTCACCAGGGTACATTGCCATAGACTGCACCCTCCGAATCAGCCCTTTCCTCCAGGGGATCTGATCTCTGCCAGCTGGAGGTCAGTTGTAATAGCAAGAGATCTCCAGCCCCACCTGGAAATTGGCAACCCTACAGGACTAGCACGACCCCAGCAACTTACCAGTGAAGACAGCTGCTGGCTTGTTCTCTCTTGCAGTTCAGCTCCATCACTGCGGATGGCCAAAAGGTGGTACTACAACTACCAATTTAGCATGGATCGATAGAGTTCCACCCCTGTCTTCAAAGCTGTTTATTGTCTCAGTCTGAGTAAGTTGTTGCTCAGGCACTGACATCCATGGCACCCACAGGCATCGAGTTGGAGACCTCTGCTGTACGTAATATTGAAAAGTCCCTTTTCAGCCTGCAGCATCTGCATAGCACTTTTGCTGTTACCAGAAATACGTACAGCTACATGCACGGGGGAAGACACGTGTGGTGAGCAGGTTTTAAGTCTTACGTTTGTATGCAGAACACCATTTGAGGAAAGGGATTTTACTGTGACTAAAAAGGCCTTGTATTAACCCTGATAAATACAATGGTCAAAAAGACACAAAATCAAACCCTTGTCATATAGGAAAGTCAGGAGAGCACGGCTCCATTGAAGTTAATGGGAAACATACCATTGCTTTCAGCTATTTCAAACATGTGGAATCACACCAGTAGGGGAATTTGTCTTCCATATTTTCTGCTTAAATTCTCCGTGCATGTACCATATGTAAATCTTTATCAGCAATGTTTAGAGCAGCCTTTGTTGGGGTTTCAAGAGCTCTAATAAAATGCAGCTCAGTCACATGTGGTTGTCATTTTCAACTCTTTTTTTTTGCCATGATCCACAAATGGCTATCTCTATCTAATAATTGGTCCCAAGTTCTTGTTCCATATTGTGTTGATTCATTCGTTAACAGCCGTATATTTTATCAATATGAAGGACTGTAACAAAGCTGGATCTCTTTTCTGATTGGTCAATGATATGCCTCTTATCAGAGTCACAATTCCACTACAGAGCACGCGTGGAGCTTCTGTAGGAACAGGTTTTCCCATTTACTTCAGTGTAAAGATCCACATATGTTTATCCTTCTTCCTCAATAGAGGTGAATGGCAAATATCTTAAGGGAATCAGAGATAATGTCTGCACAACTATTGTTCCTCAGAACAGTGACATGTAGCTAGATGTACATAATAAGGTGCTGTGTCCAGTTAATGCCACACATAATGGAAGTAAATTGGGATGCAGATTCCATTCTGCTTTACCAGGCAGAAAGGAGGAGACATCTACACTGTGCTGTGTTGGTGGGACCTGCATTTATCACACATGCATCATGCAGTGGATGAACAACCAGATCCTGTGTGAGGCAGCCATTAGTTGGGAGTTGTGATTGTGCTGTTTCCAAATCCAATGTCAGGAATTATGTGTGCAGCCATTACTGACCCTATTTTGAAGAATGTCCCATCAGTTCCACAGGACACAGTCTGAGAACCACCGATCCCCTGTTTAAATTGTGTATTCACCATTGTCAGCCCTGCAATTCACTTCCTTCTGATCTCATTTACGAAAGTGACAATTATGTGAATGTAGCTAGATTTTACAAGCAGGCCTAGCCAACTTCCTAAATTCTCCCCAGCCATGGTAATTATGACTATCCCTAAGCTGTTACATTACTTTCAGGCCAGAGATAAACTGTGTCTACAAGATACATAAATTTTATCCATTCAGAATAACAGAGAAGTACTTAAAAACTGACCTTGGCTTCTTCCCTGCTGTTCCGCAGTTGGTGGCCTGTCTATGACCTGAGGGAGCCTTCTTTACAGATGGGAAGGGTTGATGATAGCAGATACTGCTCTTGGGACAGCATCTAACCAACATATTGTTGCTTGCTTGTTTTTGCCAGATGACCAATGAAATCCTGATAAGATTTTGGTGAACACAGTCTTTCTTTCCAGTGCCCAGGGATTGAGTAACTGTAGGTCTTTGATATGGCATCAGAGGTGGCCAAGGGTGGTGGACAACTGGATCTTTTCATGTATTTCTCTCTCCCCACCCCCCTTTCACATATAAAATGTGATAGGCAGAATGCCTTACTTGATCAGCAAGAAGAACATAAGGGAGAGGGGCACATAATTTTACACTTTCCTGCAGTCTAGTGCTCCAGCTACTTCTCTGCATTCCTATGCCATGAATGCCTTCAGCTGTTAAAGACACCACCCACTGCTGCTTTACATGTAAACTGGTGGATGTGAAATGACATATTGGTCATGACCCACTTCATGTCTAGTTTTTTTTTTTTTGAAATATATTTATTACATCTCAGGTGGCAATACAATGAACTGTGCTATTACAGGCCTGGCAGAAGTGTGTTCCAATGAAAATTCAGACCAGTTCATGGTTGCTCCCAATATTTCAAAGACAGATATATGAAGACATTTCTATTTCTCTCTCCAGTCCTTTGGGGTTACTTGCCCAACAGGAGACAAATTCCACACAATCCAAATTTGTGTTATGGCATAAGACCAAACAGAAGCACAAAGCACAGCTTCACCAAGCAGAATGATGTTGCCGTATTTGTCATGAAAATCAGGTTCATGTTTATGGTGAGCTTGTCTTGACACTGTACGTTGAATGCTACGGGCAGAGAGGCCCCAGGCGCTCCTCGCGACGGACCACAGCATCTCTCCGGACCAGAGTCCCGCTCCCGCTCCCACTTCATGTCTAGTTGAGGCCCCACTGCAGTCTGGACAATCCCTTGCTAAAGTTTGGTTGTTTCTTGGGAAACAGAGAGGCCATAACTCCAGTCACACATCAAGCCAGGATCAGATGCACTGAGACAGACCCACATGCAAAATACAGTGTGTAGGTACTCTCACGATGTGAGGGATGGATTATTGCACTAGTCATTCTGGATCAGGGCTAGGAAAACTGTAATGTGAAGAAAGAAGTTTAGGTTATTTTTAAAAGTCACTTGGAAAGGCCCTGAGAGGCCAGAGAACCCAGCAGGACAATGTAGCTGTAGGTGATGTTATCACGTCTCACAATCAAAGTCCTACAGCTCTGTAATGTGACTCAATGTATTGTTTCAGTGTTCTAATTGTCTCCCAGATACATTCATGTCTATCTAGAGGTAGATAATCTAATTTTAGAGTCATTTTGTTTGGTTTTGCCAAGATTGGCCTGAACTATGTAACATGTGGTTTGTATCCTTGGTTCCCTCCCATATTTCCTAATTTTTTCAAGATGGTGATACATGGGAAGCCATTAATATCTACCAGCAAAGAATGAAAGTTTCAATAAAATTGTAACAGATTTCAATGGGGGATAGTAGCACGGTTGGCTCCAGCTAAGTAAAATATATTCATAATACCTAGGAGAGCTCCAAATGTGTGGAGTTTATAAAAAACGAAATGGAAGACATGTGGAAGCATTTGTCATCTTTCTAATGTTGTACAAAACGGCCGTATCAGTGAACTCCCTGAGACAGATTATTGCAAAATAATGGCAAACTCTGAAAGGGATCTTAAGTTCAATATGGTTTTGATGGCCTAGTAAGGCATAGCTGAAAGGTAAGCCTTAGGAGTCTACCCCATGCTTACATTAAGACCCTATATAAGAAGCAACCATAAACGGTGAAGTACATTCTCACTTAATTCATCATATTATTTTCCCATGATCCCTTTCAACACATGTCCCTGATTTCCTTCCCAACTAATCCTAATCCCTTATTACGTGTAGTAGCTATTAAACTTTGACTCTCAGGTGAGATGCTCTGCATTTCAGTGGTCTGTCTGCCATACTGGTAAGAAGCAGGTTCAGATCTCGGTTCTGAAGCAGATGTTGCATCCAGATGGTGACATTTCCCGTTACTGTTTCAGCTGTTTTCCACACAATCAGAAGTGGATGTGGGAATCAGTACCACAGAGGGGAAAAAGAGGTACAATGTTGTGTAGGGTTATGTGCCAGACTCAGCACAATCCATCATTTGCACTGTGCCAGGACAAATGAAAAGAAGTAGTATTTCACATAACACATCATTAACATATGAAATTTACTACTACAAGATATACTGGCCACCAACTCAGAAGGCTTTAAAAAGGATTAGACAAATTTTGTCAACAGTTGTGAGCCATGATAGCTGTGGAACCTTCCAGTCCAGAGGTAATAGCTCTCCTCATACCAGATACTGTGGGAGAGACAACAGGGTGAGGGGAGGTTGTTGCATTCCTCATGAGCCCCCTCAGGAAAAACCTGTAGGCCACTGTCCAAAAGAGGATGTTAGATTAGAGCAAAAGTCTCCAACTTTGCAAAAACTTTTAGAAATGGTAAGAAAGAGTAAGTATTGGGCCCAGAGGTCATTTCGGGGGGGATCATGGGGGATCGCAGTTCCCCCGGGTGAGGTATGGGGGGTGGGGCACATGACGAAGCCCCGCCCCCTGCTTCCGGCCGCCCCGCTTCTGGCCCTCATTCAGCCAGGAGGAGGCAGGAGAAGAGGGAGGGTAAGTTGCTTCCTCCCTGCCTCTTCCCACCCCTGCCTGCCTGGGGCCAGGGAGGGCCTTCGTGGGGCTTCCTTACACTCCCGCCGGCCTTGCAGGTCCACCGCCGGGCCCCTCATGGGGCTCGGCAGTGGAGCTGCAAGGCCGGCGGCGGCGGCCGGGAC